CATCAACTTTAAAGTTGGTCTGTAAATCACCTCTCCTTCTGACATTGTCACTGCCCAGCAAGCAGGGTGGTGAGTTTGAGTAATGAAAAAGCAGCAGCTGTGTGTCTAGCACAGGACATATGAATGACAGAACAACACTGTAAGTAGCATCACCATCAGCATTTTACAGTCATGGGAACTGAAACTCAGAGAGGCCACCGGATTCACATAGGACCAGCCAGAAGTGGCTAAGTCAGGGCTAAAACCAGGAACTGCAACTTTAGATTTCATTGCCTGCCACTGAGACTATCTAATTTAGACCATTTAGATAAGCACAATGAATCTGAAACACTGGATGAGCTCCTGGCGTATGCTCTGTACACAGTTCTAATGAACAGGCCCCTAGGTTTAATTAAGGAGAAAAAAGATTTAATTGTTTCTCCCAACAGCTGCAAATTATTTACATTGCATTTGTGTTGATGGCTAATAAAAGAGCAAAGGAGTGTGGGGACAGCCTCGGGTGGTTGTAATTCTTCCAGGGTCCATAATGAAGCATCAGTCTGAATGCCAAAATGTGAGAATGGATGTGCCTACTGTCCAGTTCACACCTGCAGTGGCCAGAGCTTCTCTCTGCCCTGGGCATGGTCCAATCTGTAAAAATGAGTTACAGGGGCCAAGACCTGAGAATAGCAAGGCACATGTCCCTGCCTCATTAGACTGCTTTCCAGTTAGTTTGTGATTACTGTGGAATGGGTGAGAAGGAGCAAAATGGTGGCCCTGGTTGAGTCTGCCACTGCTCCTGAAACAGTTCTGAACTGACCTTTTGAAGGACGATGAGGTGGGAAGGGAACAGGAGCCACTGCCTCAGAGCTGCTCGCAATTCTATAAGCTCTCACTTCGCTGTGGCTACTGAAAAATATGTAATGTAATATATAAAATATATACTGTATAATGTACATTACATATATATTATAATATGTGTGTGTGCACTTCTCAGATGTCACAAAGTATGAGTTTCTGATTTTCCTACTTATTAATTTTTAACCATATAATCGCCTTGGGAAAGTTACACCTTGTGGAGGTAGTTTATTCATCTTTATAATGATCATGCCTACCTCACAGGATGCTGTGATAAGCATTGCATATGTGACCACACCTTTTAAACTATGACGTAGGGTGTGAAGTTTGGCATCGAAACAATTTTGATTATTCTAGAACCCCCTCTCTAACCTGTTATTTTGATTCTAATGTACCTACTCTGTATCCTGACTTCTGTGAGGGTATTGGGGGTGGGCAGAGGGGACTAAAAAAGAGAAACCAAGCAACTTACAGTTGAGTAATCAGATTAATGTTTTAGAAAGATCACTCTTGATACCAGTCTGCAGAGTAGACTACAGTAGGACAAGATTTCCAATGGAGAGACCAGTCAGGAGGCCCCTGAAGCCATTCAGATAGGAGTGGGTTGGGCTAGAACCCATCAAACAAAGACATACAAGGGGAAGAATTGGCAAGAACTGAGTTTTCACCAGATGAGGTTCTCACATTGGAGTATGACACCAAATCCTGGCACAGTCTTATTTCAGTTCTCTACCCTTCATTAGTACCTGCTGATAGAAGTATACTGTATTCATTTGCTAGGGCTGCTGTAACAAAGTACCACAAACTGTGTCTATTAGTCCATTTTCTTGCTACTGATAAAGACATACTCAAGACTGGGCAATTTACAAAAGAAAGAGGTTTAATTGAACTTATAGTTCCACCTGGCTGGGGAAGCCTCACAATAATGGCAGGTGAGGAAGATCAAGTCCCATCTTACATGGATGGCAGCAGGCAAGAGAATGAGGAAGATGCAAAAGCAGAAACCCCTGATAAAACTCTCAGATCTCGTGAGACTTATTCACTACCTTGAGAACAGTATGGGGGAAACTGCCCCCATGATTCAATTATCTCCCACTGGGTCCCTCCCACAACACATGGGAATTGTGGGAGTAAAATTCAAGATGAGATTTGGCTGGGGACACAGAGCCAAACCATATCATTCTGCCCCTAGCCCCTGCCAAATCTCATGTCCTCACATTTCAAAAACAATCATGTCTTCCCAGTAGTCCCCCAAAGTCTTAACTCATTTTAGTGTTAATCAAAAGTTCACAGTCTAAAGTGTCATCTGAGACAAGGCAAGTCCCCTCTGCCTACGAACTTGTAAAATCAAAAGCAAGCTAGTTACTTCCTAGATACAATGGGGATACAGACATTGGGTAAATACAGCCGTTCTAAATGGGAGACATTGGCCAAAACAAAAGGGCTACAGGGCCATTCAAGTCCAAAATCCAGTGTGGCTGTCAAATTTTAAAGCTCCAAAATGATCTCTTTTGACTCCATGTCTCACATCCAGGTCACCCTAATGCAAGAGGTAGGTTCCCATGGTCTCAGGAAGCTCCACCCCTGTTGCTTTGCAGGGTGTAGCCTCCCTCCCAGCTGCTTTCATGGGCTAGTGTTGAGTACCTGCAGCTTTTCCAGGCACAGGTGCAAGCGTCAGTGGATCTAGCATTCTGGGGTCTGGAGGACAGTGGCTCTCTTCTCACGACTCCACTAGGCAGTGCCCCAGTAGGGACTCTGTGTGGGGACTCCGACCCCACATTTCCCTTCCGCAGTGCCCTAGCAGAGATTCTCCATGAGAGCCCCTCCCCTGCAGCAAACTTCTGCCTGGGCATCCAGGCATTTCCGTACATGTTCTGAAATTCAGGTGGAGGTTCCCAAACCTCAATTCTTTACTTCTGTGCAACTGCAGGATCAATACCACATGGAAGCCACCAAGGCTTGGGGCTTGCACCATCTGAAGCCATGGCCTGAGCTCTATGTTGGCCCCTTTTAGCCATGGCTGGAGCAGCTGGGATGCAGGGCACCAAGTCCCTAGGCTGCACATAGCTCAGAGGCCCAGCCCACGAAACCACGTTTTTTTTCTTTTAGGCCCCAGGGCCTGTGATGGGAGGGGCTGCCATGAAGACCTCTGAACATGCCCGGGAGCCATTTTCCCCATTGTCTTGGGGATTAACATTGGGCTCCTCCTTACTTGCAAACATTTCTACAATTGACTGGAATTTCTCCTCAGAAAATGGGATTTTCTTTTCTATCACATTGTCACGCTGCAAATGTTTCGAACTTACCTGTTCTGTTTCCCTTTTAAAACTGAGCGCTTTTAACAGCACCCAAGTCACTTCTCAAATGCTTTGCTGCTTAGAAATTTCTTCCACCAGATAGCCTAAATCATCTCTCTCAAGTTCACAATCATACAAGTATCTAGGGCAGAGTCAAAATGCTGCCAGTCTCTGCTAAAATATAACAAGAGTCACCTTTGTTCCAGTTCCCAACAAGTTCCTTATCTCCATCTAAGACCACCTCAGCCTGAACCTCATTGCCCATGTTGCTATCAGCATTTTGGGCAAAGCCATTCAACAAGTCTCTAGGAAGTTTCAAACTTTCCCACATTTTCCTGTCTTCTGAGCCCCCCAAACTGTTCCATCCTCTGCCTGTTACCCAGTTCCAAAGTCACTTCCACATTTTGGGGTATCTTTTCAGCAACGCCCCACTCTACTGGTACCAGTTACTGTATTAGTCTGTTTTCATGCTGCTGATAAAGACATACCCCAGACTGGGCAATTCACAAAAGGAAGAGGTTTAATTGGACCTCTTACCATCCCATCTTACATGGATGGCAGCAGGCAAAGAGAGAGTGAAGAAGCCACAAAAGCAGAGACCCCTGAGAAAACCATCAGATCTCGTGAGATTTACTCACAACCAGGAGAACGGTATGGGGGAAACCACCCCCATGATTCAATTGCCTCCTACTGGGTCCCTCCCACAGCATGTGGGAATTATGGGAGTACAATTCAAGATGGGATTTGGATGGGGACACAGAGCCAAACCGTATCACTGGGTATCTGGGAACAAAAACTTACTGTCTCACATTTACGGATGCCAGAAATATGAAATCAAGGTGTTGGCAGGTCCAGGTTCCCTCTGAAGGCTCTAGGAAAGGCTCCATTCCAGGATTGTCTCCTAGCTTCCTATAGTTCCTTGGCTTGGGGCTGCACAACTCTATTTTCACATGAGATTTTCTCAGTGTGCATATATCTGTGCCACAATTTTCCCTTTATATAAGTACACTAATCATATTGGATGCAGAACCACCCTAATGACATTTTAAAACTTGATTACCTCTGTAAAGATTTTATCTCCCAGTACATTCACATTCTGAGGTTCTAAGTGTTAGGATATCAATGTATTTTTTTAATGTAGAGGACACAATTCAACCCGTAAAATATAGTTGATATGTATTTTCAGTGTATTAATTGTTCATTGGTTAATATTTAATTCAGCTAGTGAAATTATTGAAGAACAACTTAAGTTGCTAGATAATTTAGACCACTGAGATACACAATTTTTAAATGATCAGAAAATATTCAAATATCTGATGTATCTTTGCATATACAATGATATTTATACATGTGTGTGTGTATACATGTATATAAAATGCAGTAACTTCTAATGATGGATCAGATTTGGTTGAGGTCAGAAACCTGAGCATACATAGTAGTAACTGCTAGTTTATTGATTGATAAAGGACTTTAACTCTGAAACATCTATTAATAGATGGTAGCATTACAGAATTAAAGCTTTCAATCAGTTCTCAATAGTATCTATCTATACTGGGTATCCAGAAATACAAATAATTGGACTTTGATGAGGTGAAGAACCCATGGTCTTAGAGGCAAAACAAACAGTGTTTGATAGTCAATGCTGTCTCTCACCTTCTGAGTGCCTTGGGTGAGGTGTTGAACCTCTCCCTGCACTTCTCTGAAGCTTTTCTGGGTTTAAAATGGGATTAACATGCTCCATGTCTCTCACAGGGTTGTTGGATGACAGCCTATGATTGGGCAAATATACAATCTTAATAATACATTATTATGGGTTTGTTATTTAAATAATGATCCTTTTTGTTTTTTCTTTCCCCTATTTTCTAGTCAATAAGCACAAGCCATGGATTGAGACTTCATATCATGGAGTCATAACCGAGAACAATGACACAGTCATTTTGGATCCACCACTGGTTGCCCTGGATAAAGATGCACCGGTTCCTTTTGCAGGTGAGATTATGGCTTAGTATGGCTGGGCCTGGCTCACTTTGAAGATGTGCTGTGAAACCTCCACAAAGCCCAGAATATAGCTTTATAGCTATTGTCACCACCCTGTGCATCTCTAGATCAGCCTGTGATGTTAAAAAGCTGTATGCCTCTTCTTATTTCTGGGATGGATTCTGGCTCTCCTTGTGTTTTTGTTTGTTTTTTCCTTCATGTTGCCTCCAGTGCAAGACCCTTGTTTCTTCTTCTAACGAGTGGTAAATTGCTGAAGCGGCCTGCAGAGTTGGAGAAGTTGGGCTAGTAAGGTTCTTAGGGGAATTTTACCCATAAAGAGATAACCCGTTGTCCCCGCTATCCACATATAATCGATAAATGGAGACTTGTTGCTTGGTAAATGGGCAAGAGAAAGGAGAGAGAGAGAAAGACCAGGAAATATCTGCTAAGAGTGGCACAGGGTCTTGTTCTTGAGCTTCCAAGTGGGTGTGTCTTTGGAGGAGGAATCCCAAGGCAGTGCCATATTTCCCTCTTGTGGCTACAGAGCCTCTCACTATCATCAAGGCTACGTCTGCTTCCTCCTTGGACCCTCTTCAAATGGTAGGCCCCAGGAGGGCTGAGTGAGGAACTCGGCTATGCCTCATGCTTCCATGGATTTTGGCAAAGAGAAGGGACTGGTCATGGCAGTGGGAGGAGGGATTAGACAAAGGATTTCTGAAGATGCCTGCATCATGAGTAATATTGTGAACATTTTATAACTGTCGGGAGAAGGACAGGAAATTTAATGAAGGTTTTCAAGATTTCTAGAAGATTGCTTTCTGATAGATGGGTGCCGGGCTGAGGTTTCACCACGATGAAGTCTGTTTTTTTTCTGACAGTTTGCCTGCTACATTATGAGCTACTTGGGCAGAGAAAACGGGGTTCTTTTGCACTTCTAAGAGATAAGCTCTGTGAAGACATCTTTCATTATGGAATATTATAAAGTATGGAGTGAGAAGGTAGTTATATTAAATTGGGAAATTCAGTATTATGTGAAGACAAACCCATAAGCATTCTTGCAAAGAGTGAGGGAGATGCTCTACTCTCAGAAGAAAGCTTTATTTTATGTAGAATGAAAACCACCGAGGGTACCTGTGACTTCCATAATGTTTAGAATTGAGGCATTTCCATACATTTCCCAATCACCCTCAGAAGTCCCAGTTTTACCAAATGCCAGTTGGAAGTATAAACTCCTTGCAGTCTTTACCACAAAAGGTGAAGTATCTTCCCTAAACCTTCTTTGCCAGTCTAGGAAGACTCCAACACATCTCTTTCTTGGACATAGCTAATAATGCTATTTGGCTTAGTCAGCAATTATTAGCAACCCCTGAAATGAGATTTTAAAACAAATATTAGTAAAAATGTTTGGGTCATGGAAATGTTTGGTTTATTATGCACTTAAAAAAATGGATGCCAGATGTAGTGGCTCATGCCTGTAACCCCAGCACTTTGGGAGGCTGAGGCAGGAGAATCATTTGAGGCCAGAAGTTCAAGATGAACCTGGGCAACATAATGAGAACCCATCTCTACAAAATAATAATAATGATAATTATCTGGGCATGGTGGTGCTTGCCTGGTCCTAGTTTCTCAGGAAGCTGAGGCAGGAGAATCACTTGACTCAAGGAATTTTAGATGGCTGCTGTGAACTATGTACAAAATGCACTCTATCCTGTGTGACAGAGCAAAAAATAAAGAGAAACAACATTTAGAAATTGGGAGATTTAGCATAAAAATGCAGGATTATGGTTTATCTTGATAAGTCTGAAATACAGAGCTGAGTAGTGGCTTTCGTTTCTCCACTGAGCATGAGCCCCTTGCTGCCCTCAGCCCCTCTCCTCACAGCCTATATACAGAGGCCCTTCCATTAAGAAGATCCTCTCGTTCACCTTTCTGTCTGAACATGTGACCCCTCTTTCAAATATGACAGAGAAAATAAATGACAAACAGGAAGTAATCAGATGACATGAAGTCATTGCAGTGTGCTGAGGCTGGCACTATAAAAGATGAGCAATGTGTCTGATTGTATGTCTGCTTTTAATGTCCTGTTCTCATCTCATGGTGAAAGGGAAACCAAAGTCGTTGAATAAGCTATTCTACAGTAAAGTTATAAGCTCTCTCATGTACAGACTACAATAGAAAAAAAAAAATACCTCAAGCAAATCTGATATTTGAAAGTTTGGATTTACAAAAGGTTATTAAAGTTTGTTGGTTATAGGGCTGAAGAAGAATTAAAGGTTTCATCTGAAGACTCACAAAAGGATTTCCTTAAGTCAGAAACCCACCAAATGCCTTTAAACTTGAATTTGTATTCTGACCGTTAGATGCACCCACAACTGTTCAGGCACTTCTTGAAACTATAGTTTCCTTCTAAGCCAAGCCCTGAGTAGTTATTTCCATTCGAAGACAACTTCTATACTTCTATTATTTGCAGCTGCCTTAAAAGAGTCTAGCTTAATGCATCAAAATATAATCCTCCAAGCTCTTAGGAGTAAAAAATAAAGGTGGTTTTTAGAATGGCCGGAGCTATTTTTCTCAGTGTTATTTATGATCAGCTCTAAGACAGGACACAGGCACTAGCCATCCATCCATGCTGCAGGCATTTATTTTAAAACATTTATCTTAAAAAGAAAATACCGAAGATTTATTTCAGATCCCTATCATTCTCATAAAATTGAAAAATTCATATCTGCCAACTCCATCACTCCTCGAAGTCAACTGAAGCTTTTAGTCCTCCCTTATCAGCTGCTTTTGTATTGTGTGTCAGTTTTCCCACCCCTTTCCCAGTGGTCTTTATTTCTCATTTAGCCCAGGAGATAGGCTCTAAGCTTTGGGGAAGACAGTTCCATCCATACCATTTGTGCTGTTATTTCTCTAATGTGTCTCCCCTTTAATTTTTTTTTAAGCAAAATGTTTTACATATAGATTCTGCCAATATATCATTTAGAATCATACATGATCTCACATGATTTTCATTTAAATATTATGATTGCATTTTGTAAGTAATTGCAAAATTCAAAGATTTAACATAGCTTTTATGGTATATCTCCTGATTATGACAATAACAAGTGAGATATATAAGTATTTATTGTAGAAACTATGGAAAATACAGTGAAACACACAGTAAAAGCATGAGGTATAACATTTTAGTCTATTTCCTTCTTGTCATTTTTCTGCTTTTTTTTTTTCATTCAAAAATTGTGATCACTCTGGGTGCTCATGCTTATAGTCCCAGCACTTTGGGAGGCTGGGGAGGGGAGGATTGCTTGAGCCCAGGAGTTTGATACCAGCCTGGGAAACATGGTAAGATCTTGTATCTACAAAATAATAATAATTACTAATAATTAGCTGGGTGTGTTGGCACGTACCTGTAGTTCCAGCCACTCAGGAGGCTCAGGTAGGAGGATCAACTGAGCCTAGGAAGCTGAGGCTGCAGTGAGCCAAGGTTGTGCCACTGCACCCCAGAGCAAGACCCTATCTCAAAAAAAAACTTATACCTCATTTTGAATACTATAACTTATTTTTTCACAGTAATGAAAATTTGCCATTTATTACATATTTTTCTGCAACTTTTAAAATGATTACATGATTTCCTACTTAATGGATGTTCTGGAGTTCACCATTCTCTGATTGGCACTTTGCCTATTTCCAATTCTCTTTTATTATAACATGTGTCCACATTTCAGATTCTGTTGTTTGGATGGTTTTCCAGAATTTCAGTTAATTGGCCAAACATTTTAAAGGTTGTGAAACATGTTAAATTGCTTTCCAGAAAAGTTATATGAGTTTGCAATTTCATTCACACCACCCAAGTCCCTCAGTCCCTGGCCCTCATAAGGTGCATTCTGATGGTGGGATTTAGTAGTAGCCCTACTTTCATCATCTGTAAAATAATACAAGCTTTCTGGAGCTGTATGTTGTTTTGATGAAATTTAAAGAGTGTCTATGACACATCTTGCAATGATTCAAGATACAGAAGTTTAATAAATTTGAGTTTCCTATTCCATACCCTCCTCCCTGCCAGTTTGGCAGGGGAGATAACTAACTCAGAGAGGCTAAGCAACTTGCCCAACATCCCAGAACAGGCTAGCCTGGGGCTGAATCTAGAGCCAGGGCTTCTCAGCACTTACTCTGAGTTCTCTTTCCCTATGATATTTTCTTTTGATCCCTGTCCCACCTGATTAGTAGAGTGCTGATGCTTAGTGAATGAAACCTCCCTCAGACTTCAGTCAAGTCCACTAGACTTGACTCAATTCTCAACCCAGTGTCTGAGCTCTGTAGATTTGACCTTCTTAGAATCAGATACAGAAAAATAATTCTTGAGTAATAATGAAAATTCTGCCCGCTGCATGGAAAAAAATGATAATGAAAGCAAGCTGGGCACACCATGAACTTATTAATTTCTACCTGTGCCCCACCGAGGCCTGTTAGGAAACTGTAGAGACTTTTAAATTTGAAGGGAATTAGATTGCCTTTCAGAGATGATAGAACTGCTCATTTGTCTACATTGGGCCAGTCTGGACTTGTCTTTTATAAGGACAGGGCTGCAGAGAATGATCAGGCATAATTGGCTGACTTCTCAGGCTAGGTGACTCTCTGAGGGCTGCCCAGAAAATTGCCTGGGACGTAATTTGGCCTGGTTTTGATTAGCTGGTTACAGTGCTGGTTGCAGCTGGGAATCCTCTTTCATACATGGTTAACTCTGTTTGTCCTTTTGTTCAGGGCCTGCCAGTCTATCTGCTTCCTTATCTTTGGATCTGCCTCAGGGTCTTGTTCATGCCTCAGGCCCTATAGGTGCCTGATGGCAAAGACCCTCCCACAGGGATTGGGATAGACCCTTGGCAGAGCCTCTCCCACATGCTTGGGATGGCCACGTGTCTTATGGTGAGAAGGGAAGGTAGATGTTGTGAATGGTCACAGGCTTTGGCCCAAACTAACATAGACTCTGCCACTTACTAGCTGTATGATCTCAGATA